GGGCTGCGGGGGAGGTGCGGGGGCCGCTGCCCGGGCCGGTTGGCGTCTGGTTTTCTGTGTTCACCTGCATCTCTCGCTGTGAACGCGTTGGCGTGGCCAGCGGGGACGGCATTTCTGTAGGACAGACTCACTGCTTGTGACATTAGCAGGTGTGTGAATGGGGACAAGGTGCAGGACCCAAGTCATACCCAGGACCAACCTGCTGTCACCAGCTGGATACACTGCCCTGAATTTCCAAACCAACACAGCAAGCAGTGCTGGAAACAGCACGTTTCCCTTGTTGTCCTTTCCCCGGGCACAGAGCACAACACTCGTACGAGGTTAGTTCATACTTAAGAGAGTGAAGCCAAAACATTTCTTTACTAACGTCCCTTTTTCTTCCCTTTAGCGGTGAATCCCTGAGCTGCAGACTGAGGGAGGTAGGTCAGGATCACTTCCTGCACATCGACTTCCAAGAGCTTAGAATTGACACCTGATTTGAAGGAGTGTTGCTGGGCAGCAGCTTGTGCCCTTTTCCCACCAGTCTCTTGGGGAAAAAATAAAAGGTTTTACATGTTTTATTTCTTTCTTTGCTGATAGCAGTGTATCCTTAGGCCCACACAGTAGTTAGGATACAGTCCTGTATAGCTTTTCCCTATATTGTGAAGTATGACCTGGTTGGCTAAACTTAGTGGGTTTTATTTAAGCCAATTTACAGCTGAGCTGCTCTGGATTCTCTGGCATCTGGCTGGAGTCCCCAGGTGCCCCAGCTATTCAGGTAAGGTTTTTTTAGGCTTGTGGCTGTACTGTGGACTTCAAAGCTTAACAATGTTATTTTTGGCAGAAAGATCTGTAAGAACATGGATTGCTCAGTTCTTCTGGGTCTGGGGAACCACTGACTGTGGTTCAGGTAAAAATGTTAGAGAACAGTGATTTTGGTTGGATCACTGTGTGTCCAGAATGGCTCCATTTGGTGGAACAAAACCCTAAACACTGTGGCAGAATATATTAGTTTCTATGTTCAGGTAGTTCTGATACTTCACTAAGGGAACATCATTCACCTTATCTTTTCCCACCTATCTGCTTATAAGGTATAAATAGGTGGATGTTAAGGTTGTTATCACATACCAGAGACTGGAGGTCAGTTTTAGGTTGGTGTTACATATCTCCCATTTGGAGAATCAATTGTGGCTTTCAGGGCTTCAGCAGTTGCTTGATCATGTACTTTAAAGAGCTTTGAAGGAGTTGCAACTTCACTGTTTCAGCTGATGCTTCAACAAATTGTTTTCCTGCTTTACTTCAGTGAGGTTCTTCTGAAAGCTCTGGCAGGGTGACTAATGTAGCTACAGATCTTGATGTCACTGTAATATATTTTTCAGCATTGCCTTTACCCAGCAGCAGATCAATGAAGAAGAAGTTTAAGCAGCATGTAAATCTTGCTATGAACCTGAAGAGACTCTTCTGGCTTCTGTGTTGCTTGAAATTGTTGCTTGGTGTGAAAAGGGCTAAAATGGCAAAGCAATGCATAAGATCTCACAACAGCCATTTTTAAGTGTTCTGGAGCTATGTTAGAGTTTCAGACACACATGTGCCCCTGTAAAACGTTAATCTCAAATTGCTACAAGAAACTGTTTTTAAGAACTGCAGGATGGAAGTGTTTGAAGTAATTCCACCATGGGCTGGGAACGAGTCAAATGCCATGACCAAGGAAAGGACACCCCTAAGATGGAAGATGAATAAGGAAAATCACCTGGTAAGGATGGACCAGAAGAGCTGGCTCCTTGTAAGGTCACCAGAAATGGCTGTGCATTAGTTTCATATTAAAACATGAGTCATGTGTGCACACAGGATATTGGTCAGGTTTCAGCCTTGAGAACTGACTTGCGATTCATTGAGATGTTCTTTAGCTGAAGCTTCACTCCTTACTTGCTACTGGTAATTTGTAGTATCTCTACCACATTCTCAAAGAGTAGCACTTTGGAAACCTGCAGATCTGAATCAGGATTTAAATTGCTGATGGAACTGAACAGCTTTGTGGCTCGTTGCTTGTCTTGACAGACAGCTGATCTCCTGCTGTGCTCTGTTTGTCTTTCCCTGCTGCCTGCAGCTGCATTGCCTTCTGATGCTCTTTCTTGCCTCTGAGCAACGACATCAAACATTATGTTCTCATTGTGTGGCCCAAAATGTCCATGAGAGATTGGCTATTATCAAAACATATTTGATAGGAACTTTGTTCCAATTAATGCGAAATGTTTCAGCTGACACAGGCGTTGTAATCTTTTACAGTGACTGCTTGTTAATGATAATAAATTGCTTGGAAAGGCACTATCTGTCTCTCTGTTGAAGTGTGCAGCAGAGGCTGGGCTAGAGCAGGGCAGTGGCTTTCCAAATGTGTAACCAAAGCTAGAGGTGAGCTATTTATTGCAGGTGTTTCTGGGCAGTTAAAACACTAGTTATGCTATTGGTCATACAGAAAGAATCCCTAATCAGAAGATACCGTTGAAATTATGAGAAATGCAGAGGTGTGCTTGAACTGGGACAACTGACTTTGTGGTCACATCACCCATATATTTATAATGCTGAAAATGCTGGAAATAATACTTCCATTGTTCCATTCAGCCTAGAAAGTGTGTAATTGAAAAACACATCTGTTGAGATCTTCCATCCTATTGTTGGAAAAGGTTTGGGAATCCCTGGTTCTACAGACGTAAAATTGTGAGGTGGAGATTCTAGTTCACAGGTGCATAAATGTAGATTTCTTCATTCACTTCACAGGGAGCTGCTCAGCTCCCTGTTTCTTTTGGGGGTGGACGGATTCTAGAGCCAAACTTTAGCACCCTCTTCTAGAAGTTTCGTGCTGCATCCTCTTCTTCACTTCAGTTTCACACTCAAAATCTGAAATCTGGAAAGGTGAGGACTCTTTGTTGGTCTTTGTGTATCTTGAGCAAGTGTGCACAGCCACATATGACACCCAGACCTTGTCACAGGGTTAGGCACTGGACAAAGAAAATAAGTTCTAAAGCCAACAAGAGAGACTTATATTTTGAATATAATTTCAAAACTCAGGTTCCAGTATTTACTCTGAGAAGAGGTTCTCTCCATTTGTTGGACACAATACTGGAATTACACTGTAGAGACTACATTTTATAGGAAATCATGCATAATACAATGTTTTAGCCTTGAAA